CCACTTTAGGAATACTTTACGACGCAGCATGACCAGACCACAAGTGCCTTCCCCAATGAGCATAGCTGATGAGAAAGTAGAAAGTTTCGGGATCACAGTGGATTAAGGTGAACAAGATTACCGTCATTTATGGTCAATGAGTGACAGTTACCTCTGCCTCCCGGGTGACTCCAGGCAGTCACTTCATGCGGTCTTGCATGGTAAAATGCACGTGGGCATCATGGCGAAAAAACGTGGACGAACCATGGGATGCCTCCTAACACAGCATCCACCCGTAATCAGTGCGAAGTTCCTCCCCTATTCTACTAGCCCCACTCGAACACAACATTTGGCCGTTGATCAGCTGCCTCTCCGTGTTGGGACCTGACTGCGAGCACCTCAGCTATAAGGCAAGCACTCGGCTCGTTCAGTCACCGTCATCCAGGACGCCCTCATCCACACACCACCTCTGCGGGTCTGCTCTCTGGCCGGCATTGTGCCGTGTTTGGCCGGCCGCGCGTGCGCCGCTCGTCGCGCAGCGCCACAGCCGCGTCACGTACGTCGCACAATAACCTCGCACGCCGCTTTCGCCGTCTCCGAGCATCGGCAGCAAACGCGGCGCTCTCCGCAGTCAGCACGGCTGCGGGGGGCGTCCGGCCCACATCTCGCCGTCCGGAGCGGACGGTTGGAACGGCGCCGGACGTGCTGCAGCGTCTTGTCACAACATCTCCAAACACAGAGAGCCGCGCGGATTCCCGGCGAACGGAAGGAAGACGCGGCCATTCGTCGCGGCTTGGCTCGCCGGGTGGGCTATCGTCTGTGGCGGCCGACGGGGCCGGGCGGAGACGACAGGACGCACGGTCACTGACGCTGCGGCAAACAACTCGCTCGGAGAGCTGCCGCAGCAGATCGACAGAGGGCACCAAATGACATCCAGTCTGACATCAAATGACATCTGATGACACAAAATAACATCAGATGACACGGCGGGCGGAGTAACAACAGGTGATAGACCATCGATGCGTAGAGCGGGGGTTGCTCGACTGCAGCTGTGAGTGATCTGATGCCACTCGCTGTTCGTCTATCGTCAGCTGGTCGTCCTGCATGACCATCGCCATCGATCCTTGTCTGGCCTCTTCGGCTGCAACGTTGCAACATGTTGCCTCCACGACAGCCACCGCACGACCGATCCCAGACAAGGCTAGCGGTATCGCCGCTTGCTGTCGCACGGTCAAGCCCGGTGGAAGTTCGGAGGACCCAACATCGTGGATTCCATCACCCAAACGGATCCTCACGTCGTACTGTCTGCATACCACATATGGGCTGAGAGTTCGCCGGGTATATGTAGCTGCAGAGGTTTACGAAACGTCTGTTGCAGATGCGAGCCGACTGAACACATCGTCACCAGACGCCACGACTTCCTGTGCGGGCGTCACGCCGACGCGTCACGAGCCAGCACGTCCGCGTGTGGCCGTCACGTGCCGGCGTCACGAAGCGCGTCACGGCGTGTTGGTCGTCACGCCCCCATCGGACCCACACGGGTCGCCTGGTTCAAAGTCGACGGTAAGGCACGAAGCCAAGAGCCAGCCAGTCGCCCGTGTGCAGTAGGCAGGCTATCGCCGCTGCAGACTGAGTCGAGCCAGCCTGCCAGTCAGTGCAGACAGCGCAAACGGACGCCGACATGGAAGTTTTTGCGGCGAGAATGCACCAGCGGATGGGCTATTCCCGGCCCGACAAGCATTGTTGGCGAGTTGTTATTTGTAAGTGGTGTTGTCCCTCGCAATACAGAGGGACGCAGCGACCGAAATTTCCGGCCAAACATACGTTTCCCAACTACAGAAAGAAACCCGCTAGCGCGGTCGGGGGCCACGATGTATGCATGCGACATTACATAGAAGAACGCTGAGACTACACGTCTCCTGATGCAATATGTAAATACTGACAGGCTCCCTGCCGGGTCTTCCCACATTGGCTGCCAGGAGATGAGATAGAATACCCCCACTTGCGTCACCCGTTTACGATGGTAGATGTTTGGGAGGTTAGACACGACTACCGCTTTCCATGCTAACGAATCACTGTTGATCCTCAGAAGGAATTTATCCCATTTGTCTGTGATTGCAACACAAACCAATCGTTTCCATCTCCGCCAGAAACAAACACGAGCATCCAAGATTCATGAGTATGACACAGGGCTGTTCCAAAAACAAACACTTGTAGCACGGTGATCCCCTGATCATGCCACTCTGTCTGCTTCCATCACTAAGCTCCTTCCGCCAGTTCACGATATCCCGGTGCGCAATGACCGTCTGTTGCGCCGTGGCCGTGCCCTGTTCCGTGCAGGTTCCGTCCGTGGCAGGGGCGGCGGCTGGAGAATCCGTCTCCCTCCGCCGTCTTGTTTGGACAGCTCGTCAACGCCTCGCCGCGGGGCGCCCGGCGTAAGCCATAAACCACGTGACCGGGGTCCCGAGCGGCGTGCCTCAGCTTCCTAACGTAAACCATACACCACGTGACTACGGGGTCTCAGTGACCGTGTGTGGCGCCTTGTTTTGGTTCAAAGCTGCGGCTTACGGGCCACGGAACATTCTTGCTATTCTTCATACCGTAATTAGGCCCTCAGACTGTTGCATATCGAATACCCTACACAGTCAAAGCAGTTGAGATAACAATGGTCATCATATGCTGACGGACAACTGGTCGAAGTTCTCTCCACGCCAAGAGGGTCTCAGGTTCCACGTGAGCTGGCTACAAGACGGTATCCCTTCAGCCATTCCTCGGTCACGTCACGGTTCCCCGAGCCCGGGCCCCGGGGTCAGTATCAAGGCTAACTGGTAGTCAGCGCCTCCAATCAGGTCGTTAACGAGCCATCGGCCGCCGTAATAAGGTCCACCGCTCGGCCACCCAGCTGGTCTGTCTGCCGACACGCACACGCGTCGTCATGACAACCGTCAACACTAACGCCAACGCCGACAACGTTTCTAAAACCGCCGTCACCGCCATCACTTCCTCGACCTACAGCGTCGCCGCCGTCATCTTTTCAGTCGATGTCAAATCATGTCTCAAATTTCACTGCTGCTGCGGGCGCCCGGTACCATCAACGGCCGCCCATTAGGGTGACAGTCTGTGCCAGCGACCACCCGGGCCGTCCCTCCCCTATCCCTCCCGCACACACATGGCCCCTGCCACCAGATACGCACAAAGTTTAAACGATGGGGGATGACCCATGGAGGGGGCGGGGGTAGGTGACGGTTTTGTATTGACGCGGTCCACCATTCCCCCGCCCCCACCCGCATGGCTCCTGTGCCTGTTATGTGCTCGCAGCGGCCACGGGACAGAGTTTATGCAGGCACACGGGACTGATACCGCTGTCCAGACGCCGGCTAGCTGCTGCATGTAGACTCAGTCCAGACGGCCGTTGGTTTTGAACGATATCGAACTTCGGACTGGATGTATTGTGATAACAGCGAGGGGATCGGACAGCTTTTATGCTGCGCAGGTCGCGGTCCCATCCTATCATACAACATGATGCCGCCCTGCTGCTCTGCTCTGTTCTGGACTTTGAGCCGGGGGTTCTGCTTCCAGTCCAACAGAATAAACCGTCAAACTGGTGAAGTTTGATTAAATAATGGCTAATCCACAACAAAGGAGCCAAATTTACGAAATTACTCGCTGGATATAAAACAGCAAATGGATCGTCAATGTCAGGATAAAACCTAAATAAAACGATACCCAACTCATCTCAATAAAAGTGAAACACATCTCCATAAAACAGTCGTCAAACGTCTCTCTTTGGCCAACCATCAGAACCACACCACTGTCATTGCACGGACACTATAGCTTTGGCTGCAGCGGCTTTGGCTGCGGCGGGCCCGTATTTGGGGGCGGTTGCCGACAGCCGCCGCCAGCCCCCGCTCCAGCGGCGCGCAGCGATGACCCTCCTCCCCGGCTGAGTCAGTCGGCCGTTTTCAGTAGCGGCCGGCACTGATACGGCCGTATCGGCGAGTTTATCACCTCCGTGACGCCCCGTGCCAGTAATGATTTCAGTCCGGCGACCGTATCGCCCGAGTCGAACGATAAAATCACGGCGCCGCGCCGATCAATGCGCTCCGGCACACACAGACACCGGGAAAACGGGACGACGCGTCAGATTGTCACGGCTGCGGAATAAATAGGGCGATGAGGGCTTATAGCGCGTAGATCAAAACACCGCGCACGGAGATTTTATGACGGTACAAGTATGTATGCAAACAGAGCACTCGACTTCTCATAACCAGCACGACACTTTTGTCGCTCCATCGCGCCTCAATTCCTGAAGGGCATTACATTCCCGTGATACATCATCCTTTTCCATGGCCATTGATGCCTTGAACGCCACGTGAGAATGCGATTATGCGCCGCCGCATTGTGCGATCAGCAGGGGTTTCAATGGGGACCCGGGACGGGGTTCTCAATACGCCGAAGGTCACCCACATTCACGAGCCCACGCTCCCAAACCGCATGCGTCACAAGATTTGGGCGGCCCGTTCCGCTCGCTCCATCGCCGTGCTTTGCACACGGGCACGGTGAAAAATATGCGTCAATCACAACGGTGCACGTTGCACAAACTGCCAGCAACCAAAGCCTACCTCGTAACACCCGTCACCGTAACACAAACGGTAAATAAGCCGGCAGCCGGCATTCCTTCACACCATGACAGTTTTTGCCAGCACCAGTCCAGGCATTCGTAGCACTTTTCAACAACTGGTGCTCTACATAACGTGGATATTCTGAGTCACTTTCCTAGCACTAACGGAACACGGCAGTATGTCATCATCGTGGCTTATACCTCGGCACAAAAAAAAAGATGTCATTGCACGATCATTTTGCACCAACAAATGGTCGCTACTCGCCTCACACCAGCTACAACACAAGGGCTCAACCCTCGTACCTCTCCCACGGTCACATAGTAACCGCGGGTTGCTTGAAATAGACAAACATTATTCGTTAGATACCCACTACTCTCTACCCCTGCACTGGGTACTCACTTGTCTCCACGGTAGGCCAGGCCGAAGTAGCGGCGCTCCTTCAGCGAGCAGTGCGAGGCCACGATCTCGGCCAGCTCTGAGGTCAGCAGACGCAGCTGGATGGTGACGTCTAACCGCCGCTCGTCCGGCAACACCACCACGCAGCGACGGCCCGACGGGGTCACCTGTGGGCACAGGGAGGGTCAGGTCAGGTCAGAACGCAGCGCCGACCCGACGGGGTCACCTGCGGGCACAGGGAGGGTCAGGTCAGAACGCAGCGCCGGAGTCATCAAAGACGGCCAAAGAGACGGGTTTGATCAGGTAAGGTCAGATTAGTGCGCTGCGTAGATCAGGGGAGTGACCTGGGATAAAGGGTTGATCAGTCTCGCCAAAAAGAGATTTGTCTTAGTTACGATGAAAGATTATGGAATAGATAGCGTCAGTTCATCTTCAATTTTCAAGAAACACCGTCAGCAAAACGTGTAAACTATGAATCATAACAAATTCATATGAAACGACAATGTAAACACTCGCTCCACTTATCGTGGAGCACCAACCAGATCGAACCAGTCTACTTGAAATCATTCCCATCCAGCTGGGATATCCAGCCAACGCCAGCGGCTGAAAACTGGGCCTTACCCAGACCCTGTGCCCGGTATAAACTGTGAACACTCGCCCCGTGCCGTCTGATACCGCGGCGGGGGTGGCGCGATGTCAGCAGGGGACATGGAACAGGCCCCCGCGCACTGACAGGCCGCGATGGTAGGTATACACTCTGTTACAGAGAATGAAGCAGCAGGGGGACGCGTTACTCGGAATTGGTGAGGTGATACGACAGAGTGCGGCAATGACGATATGGAGTTGAACGTGTGGAAAGCCTTTCCAAGCATAAGCTTATGGGACAGGAATTGGGTAGTTGGTATTATGCTACCACCCTCACATTGCCAATCTACCCAACCCCACTGGGCGTACGACAGTTCCTTCTGGGAAATACATGTTAGTCTAATCACGACCGCAATTTTCTATATCGAGCGTGAGAGAATGACATTAGCATATGTATAAATCAGCAGCTAGTGCTGCGGCCAGAACGTGTCACACGGGGTGGTGCACCTCAAATAGCCAGCCTGCGAACGGGAGAGAGCAGGGCAGTGCAGACTTTCCACGGGTTTTATAACGACTTCCGCGGCTGATAGCTCCCATCAACACCCCATGGTGTCGTGAATAATGGGCCAGTATCACGATCAGCCAGCCATTCCATTGTCTCCGAAACTCCTCCAAAGGGCACCGGAGGGTCAGATGTCATCTCCACAAACGGCTGCGCTGGGACGTAGCCTCGACCCAGAAATGTTCAATGATCATCTCAGCTCGAAACTGTCTCCTCACAAATGATTACGAAGCGCTTCTCGCGACATCTGTGGTATGAGAGCATCATCAGCCTTCAGCTAGACACCAATTTGAGCCCTCGGGTGACACCTAGCTGCCTCTCGACCCTGGCCCTCCAGCCCTGGCCCGGCCCTGTATCCCACAAACCCGAACCAGGCCGTCGGGGCTCCATGGGACACAGCACCATCTGGTGACCGCGCGGTTACCGCTGGGTCACGCCCGGTGACCCCTGCACGGCGGCAGAGGGCCTACTAACCGCCGCTGACCCGGCCGGAACGTCGGGTCACGGCCCTAAAACGGTAGCAAAGTGTCGGGAGGCGCGGCGCGGCGGTGAGCCGGCCGTGCTGGGCGCCGGGGTCGGTGGCGGTGACCGCCGGGTGTCACTCGCTGACCCCAGTCAGATGACCCCCGACCGCCCGGCTGCCGGCCGGCCCAGTCAAACAGCCGACCCGGCCGGCCCGGTTTTTACCGAGCTCGGAAGTGGCATTAAAACCGCGGCCCGTTAGCCTTCAAGTTATGATACGCGCTTCCTGAGAAACGCCTGCCGCGCTGCACCGAGGATAGTACAATTAACACGGCGTGTGAGCTCATAGAGCACAGCCTTCCGCCCCCCGTCTTCCCAAGCACACGACCTCAGCAAACGAGGCGGATATCGTGCATAAATCACACACCATTTCCTCTTTATAGTGTGCATTGTTTAGCTCACACACTTTCACAACAAGACGATCACCGAAAAATGCAATGATAGCTCTAAAACTGCCGAAGCAGGTTACCAAAGTGGCGTACCACGAAAACAAAGCACATTTAGATCACTGGAATCACGAGAATCTCTTCCGGCTATATTTCGTGAAAAGTTCGAGACATGACAAATGGAAAGGCTTGGGCAAAAAATGACAAACATGGCCGATTACATGCCTACATCATGTAATGCCATTGTTACATGGTATAGACGTATTTTATCAAGGACAGATCAGTATTTATTGCAGAAACGCAGCCATCTTTACAAGTGAGACATTGTTCAGCAACGCAATATCTATGTAGATTGTGGTCTTGCTTTTTCGACAAGCATCCCTTCAACAAAAGAATGCAGAAACGAGAATGGTAATGCTCATGAAACGTTTCCGGAAAGGGGGTGGCACCCTTCCTCTCGGCCGGCGAGGAATACCTAAACCCTGCCGTAAGAACGAGGCCATGGATGATTGGTGTTGCCATTCGGACGGCCTAATCGCTATAGTGACCAGTAGCGGACTGGCAGGCTCGTTCAACCACAGAAACAGCATAGTGCTAACAGCCGTTAGAGGAAACATATGCCTCACATTTTTGTACGCGATACGAGTGTCTGCATAAGAGGGCAAAAGTAACACTGAATTCACGCTGATCCGTTATGAAGAGGGTAAATTTGAATGCACGCCGTTGACATTGCTTTCCACAACGATCATTCACCAAGATAGGTTATCGTGCTCAAACAAACAAGCGTATTTACCCAGACAGGCATTCAAAATTATCGTCTAGGCTGGCAGCATCAAAGGTAAACGGTTATGCCACTAGCCGCTGCTAGCCCATCCGTATATCCAAATAATATTGCAGCGACGGCGTCCAGTCTGAGGGTAGTTCCGTCAACCAGCAGTCACCCAGTATCGGCGTCCACGGGCATTCAAATCAAGTGTTTGTTTTAAATGTAGGAGTGGCCAGACGCTGGCCACTGCAACTGGGTAGTAAGTGACCCGACTGATAAGATAGCTTCTCTTTCTGTTCGACCATTATTTCTGTCCACCTACTGCGCTTTCAGAGACAAGATAGTCAGTTTGGACCGGGCCGTGAACAGCCCGCCCCTCCCTCTCCCAGCAAAACACACCTCACCGCTCACACAAACCCGCACCAACCCCTGACCCGTGATCATCCATCCTGTCTATCGGCTCCGTCATCCGTCCCGCCCTCCCACTCATCTCGTCAAAACGGCCCGGCCACCTATCAGCGGTCCATCTGGGACCGTCTCCGTACCTGTCCCCCCCCCCCCTCCCGGTGGGCAGAGCGGTGCGATACCGGACCACTCTCTCCTCGGTCTGTCAGTAGGTAGCTGTCACCGCCGTCTGACCACTGAAACCGCTGCACCGGGCGGCCCGCCGCGACCAGGGAGGTCCAGACTCCAGAGGAATGCAGTGAGAGTGCAGTCAGTTAAGGAGAGAGGCGGCTTGGCTACCTGACTGCCGTGGCCGCTGCCGTGACTATCCCCTACCCCCGCCGCCGGCGATGGCGACTCAAATCGAGCGGAAGTCTCGCGAATGGTCAGCGGTTAACGACAGGGGCAGGAGCGGCGGTGGTGGAGGAACACAGCCGGTCAGCTCCTTTCCCACGCGGTGCGAGCGGCCGCGCTCCTTGCGTAACCGCAGCGCGCCGCGGCGGCGCGGCGGACAGCGCGGTCGCCGGGTCGCGGTGGCGGGTCGCCGGGTCGGCCGGCCGGCGCGCTGAGGCGCTCCCCGTGCGCGCCGCTCGGGTGTTGGTCTGTGAAAGTCGGCACCGGGGCCGGCCCGCCGCCGCCCGCCCCGGCGGCCGCCGGTGACCCTGGCCGGCCGATGGGCCGAGGAGAAACCTGCGTGTCGCGGTGTCGGGGTGTCGGCCCGAGAAACGCTCGCTAGCTCGCCTTCCGGCGTAGAGCGGGAGGGACCAGCGGGCGGCAGCGGCACAGGTGCTTTGTGGACCCGGGAAGCAGCAGCAGCGGAAATGACAGTCTGTCGTGCCGGGCCAGCTCAGCAGGTCCGATGAGCCGACTCGCGCACTGCTAAGTTCGGGTGGACTGGCCCAGTTGAGTGGCGAGCCGGACTGGTCCAATCAACCGGCATTTCAAACACAGCCTCCCAGATCGGGCCTCTCGCTCAGCGCATAAATCCACTACGAGTGAGCACAAACGTGATGAAATATGCATCACTATTCAGGGCCCCACGGCTTATCCTGATAGGGGATACACCACACAATAAACTAGCGTCAGCTGCTGGCCTGGCCTGGCCAGAGCCGCCCCCCGATGATGCAGAGCCAGGGGATGCACCGCTCAATGCTGCAGCCCCGCCCCGACTGTCGCATTGTCCTCGCTCGAAATCTGCCGGTCTCACGTAAGCGTCACAGCTCATGTCAGTCACCGGAAGGGCGGACTGCCACGCCCGCTGCCGGCACGGCACTGCCGGCGACCCGCGCAACAGGGATGCACCATGTGACCTGCAACTGATGCTGCAACGACCAGCTCGAGGAAATGGCATTACGATGGCACTGCAGGGTACGGTCAGCTCATCCCCGATATTTCAGATGAATCCGAAACACATTAGAGTTATGAGTTGCTCCCTGCAGCGTCTAAAATTCACCATAAGTCGATCCGACAAATCCCCAAAGTTCAAAGAAAACGGATGCAACTTACACAGAGCCAACTTTGACATTAAAAGGTTCATGCACTTCATAAATCAGACTTTGATCTGTATGACAGTTTCTGAGTAACAAGTCCAAAGACCAGCCCATCCCGATTTCCGTGAACCACATCTGACACCCGACATCGGCGCTCCCGTTTCACCGCAAATGAACAGGACATCTCAAACGACCACCCAGAGTAGCGCGGGACATTCGTCTCTCTCAGCTGGTGGGCGGCTGTCACAGCGCTTCAGCGTCACTTATCAGGGTAACGACAGCGCTCCGGACAGCTCCGGACAGCTTTCCGGACTCCGGGGAGAGGTCGGATGGACAGACCATCGCGCCGCTGTCGTCGTCGATCGTCGAAACCGACGTTAGGCTGACAGGACACGTCGTCGTCAACGACGAAACCGAGTCAAACTCGGCGTCGAGTTGCAGAGAGTCCGTGGAACAGGATAGAGTTGAAATGAAATTAGATGGAACTGAAATGGGTAGCGATAGCTGAGCTTGTTTGATCTGAGCTCGTGTTTAATTTATGATGCATTGAGGACTGGAGGACACACAAACTACAAAAAGATTTATTGTCATAGCAAAAGGTTCGCGATTACGAAATCCAGAGGCAGGATTTAGCTCGTGTGAGCCAGAGCTTTATGAAAGTTCCCTCAACGAAAGTTAATCGTGCAGTAATAGAAGCTGGACAAAAGCAGGTAAGAGTCAATGCCACTCATATCCGCTATCGAGTCATCGACGACGGGGATTCCCATGGGAACGGAAGGGAGCTGAAAGACGTGCGACGTTCAGACGACATCGTCTGTCGCCGGTCACTGCGAACGATGAGCCGCATCGTGAGCGACGGTTTCCGCGCCGCCGATGACGGAGAGACCGACCGTCATCGGCGATGATGTCTGGATGACGCGGTCGCGATGGACAGTCGCCCGTCAGCGGATTGTGAGCGCCTCTGTCATCCTCAGAGGCGCCCATGCTGAGGGGACGGCGAGCTAACTATGCAGCGCCAGCATAGTTGGCCCGATAGGTGGTTAGTGGTACGCGTTGATTAGGACCACCCAGGCGCGGACAGCCGTCAACATTATAGATCGATCAATGGAGCAATGCGGGCCCGCTGAAGGTAATTAAATAATAAATGTTGACAGTGGCCAATTGGCTAATGGGGATGTCGAGTTTGATCAAGCGACATGCAGGACAACACGTCGACCAGCAGGGATTTTGCAGGACGACCAATAGCAAGTGCAACGCAGTAGCACGCAATATTTATTGGATGTTGCATACGTACCAGCTGAGTCTGAGAGCGCGACTTGGAAGGCACCTCCTGAAATCCGGCCAGTGGTGGCGCTGGCGGGGGCCGCTTTTTAATCTTCATCGGTATCACTTGGGGAGTCACTCTGATGCACTCAACACTGTCTGCAGGTTACCCAGACCTTCCACACGCGGCTACATGGCCGCTAACAAACTCGCCCACTGGAGCCACCTGTCTGCCTCGCACGAGTACAACCGGCAGCCAACTGCGCCGATAACCACTCTATCACGACGATCTGCGCGCGCACCAAGAGACGCGGCGGATTAGCACAATACGCGCGTGCGTGTCTGACCGCCACTGCGCACACACTGCACGCACACAGCTCGGCTCTGCGCGCTCACACAGCGGCACCGTTCACGCTGCTGCACCCGAACTGCACGAAATTCAAACCACGCCGCCGGTCCGTCCGCGAGCCAGGGTGAAGGACCTGCTGCTCACTCGGCGTCGCTCACGAATCTGGCGCCCCAGCGAGGCGCTCCGGTCCACCGATCGGCCCGCCAGGAGAGAGTTACGGCCGCCGCCGCCCCGGACGGTCACCAGCGGTACACTGCGCCGCGCTGCGCAGCGCCGCCGCCGGCCGAGCGATGACGAGCGGCGTCACTCCGCCCCGCTGCCGCCACCGCGACCGCCGGTCACCGGCCGGGGGGAGAGAGGTGGCGGCCGAGAGACGCTCCACGTCCGGCGGCGGAGGCGCGTGCCAACAGACACCTCACTCGGCTCACCTGACTCACCGCCGGCTCACCTGACTCACCGCCGGCTCACCTGCCGCGGCGTCACCCGAGTTCACCTCTGGCCGGCGGCTAGGTCTGGAATCACTCGCGCGTGCGGCGCGTCCCCTCCAAACGGCCGACCTTTCCTTGAACTTGGGCGGTACAAAAACTCCGACCGGAGGGACCGGAGGCTGAGAACAGCGGCCCAGAGAAGGGTTTGAAAATCTCGCCTCCTGGCGAGAGAACTGGCTTGAACACAGAGCGCCTCGCAGGTGTATGGCTGTTCTCTCCTACCAAGCACGCAGTAGCGACCTCACAACCCCCGCAGCCGCTCCGCACTGCCCTCTCAGAGCCACTGTCACCGGGACACTGGAGAGTGGAGTCCGCTCGGGCCCGCTCTGATGCAACGCCCGGCAACGCGACACGGGGCCTCGTCTGCCCGAGAAGCCGGGCGGAATCCGGCCGGGCATGAATTGACCGACCTTGGTGCCGGCTTCAAACCGGCGGGCGGCGCGCGCCCCGTGCCGGCACCGGTGCAAAGTGCACGATCACAGACCGGCCGGAGCGGAGCGGCCGCCAAGAATACGCGGCTACGTGGAGACAATCAGGGATCTGGATGGAGACTGGATCAAACAGATAGATGGCATAGGCACATGGATTTAATGAAGCCAATGTTCTGTTATGTATTTTTTTCCTGTCCTAGAGGAAAGACGACGAGCTAACTCTCAATCCGAGACGTTGCGTAGGTACTAAAAACAAGTTACGCAACGTAAAGAAGAGCAAACGTGCAGCTTGTCCAGTGGCGATGATCTGAAACACTGATGATCCGGGTCCCGGGATTCGCGTTCCGGTCAACCTTGTCCACAGTCACCAAACGCTGACCACCGTACGGTCTTGGTCAGTGCAGATACCGTCCCCGTCTCCTGCTTGCCCAGCGCACCCTTCGTTCCGGCCAGTGCAGTGACCAGCACCTTCCACCGCCCCTGCGCCCCGTCCGGCGCCGTCCTCGGAGCCTCTGTCCACCGAGCCGTGTCCACTCAGTCCGGCGGGGCGGCTGTCCGGTCCGTCCGGCGCCGGCCGCCGGACACGACCACCTTTCAAACCGCCCAACGGTCGCCGGCCCGCCGCCGCCGCCGCCCGGCCAGGTAAGGAGGGAAGGGGGGGGGGGAACTTCCGCGGCCGCCGCCCCGTCAGACACTGAAGAAGGTCTAATTAGCCGGGCCATTTGGGGCCGGGGGTGGATGGGGACAGGGCGGAGTCCCGGTCCAGGATTACGGCGAGGGCCGGGCTCGGGGTGCCCGCTGCCCCTCCCCACTATCAGCGGTCCGCAGGTGCGCGGCGCCAGGCCCGCGGGAGGGGGGAGGCACTGAGGGATTGCGGTTTTCCGTCAGCCGCTGTGGTTTAGGGAGGTATAAATGAATTTCGGTGAGCCGCAGGGGGTACGGATGGGTGCGCTTTGGAAGGGTGAAAGGGGGAGTCACGCATCACTAAACAACAGGGCACGCGATGAGCGAATCCAGCTGTTTTATATGCGCTATCCAAACTTCATTTGCGTTGCCAAGGTCAGTGCGGGAATTTGAAAGCCAACACTCGTACAAACATTCCCAACCGGCGTCCAGTCACAGTCAACAGCTACGCCCGGAATTCCTTCTTCTTCTTCTCTGCGCGGTCGCGGACCGCGCCTAGGGCGCGGCCGGCGGGGGCGGGTCGGTGGCGACCTGCACCCGCCCCACTCTTCTCAAGAAGTTGATGACATGTTCGGCCGGCCCCGAGAACACTTCCTCCAGGGTAGGACAGTGCCCCCAGAAGCCGGCCCGGAATTCCTCCTTGACCTTCCTGCTGATTAAACGCACGCCGTATCGTACTCGCAGCGGGAGTGGTTAGCCTTGTCAGTTGGGCTAGTCCGCAACCCGTACACAGCCCGGCCCGCTGCTGACTCGCCTCGTCTGGGGCCGCGGGTGGGCGGGCGGTCCCCGCACCCCGACACACCCGAAGACGTCCCGCTGAGACCGCCGTGCGGTGGACAGTGGACGGCGCTGTGGTGGGCCCGCACACCGGGGAGGGTTCCTCAGGGCAGGACGACGTAAGGAGAGGTGAGAACAGCGCCGTCAGACACCTGCCGCGCCGGCCACACGTGGCGGGCGGCAACACTCTCCACGACAGCCAGCTGTCATGAGCCCTGCCCGGGGAGAACAGCATCGGTTACAGGCATCCTGTTCGCCACCAAACGCCAGACATCGACCAGGGATGGCCCCGGGGAGAGACCCATCCCAGAGACAACTTCGATAACGGAGACAACGAAGACAATCAAGAGAGAGCCTGTGAGTCACACACCAGTCGCCAAATGTCCAGTGAAGTGCTCACTGTTCAGTGGCGCAGATGCTCCCCTCTCGGTATGTCCTCTCCAATCCCATCTGACGCAGCGATTTCACTTTGCTCGGCTCGGATTTCCTCGGCCTATGTCAACTCGTCTCTCCAATTCCGTCCGCTCCAGTGGCTCCGTCCGTCCGCTGGCCGCCGCATTACCGGCTGCCCAGCGCAGGCGTCCGTCCAATCCGCCGGCGCGTCGGCTGCACTCCGGCCCGCCTGGTTTATACGCTGCACGGCCGCCGCCGGCAGTAGCTCGAACTGATCCGAACCCTTACGGCGTCCACTCCAGTTCACGCACTGCTGGCTAGGTCAGTGGCAGCTGGCGGCCGACATAGATCATCACGGCGGCCGCCGCCGACCACCGTTATTAAGTCGTTTATCCAGCGGCCCAGCTGTCCCAGGCAATGAATGTAACGAATAACGATACCGGCCGACATCCGCGCACGGACCACAATGGCCATAGACGGTCACGCACGCGACTGCAGGGGACAGGGAGAGAGAGCGACAGGGGCGATAACACCTCGAAACAACAACACGGCACCCGCGCACGCGCCCAGCACACTCGGCAAGGACAAAGGACATCGAAAACAAAGAGGGGTGGGTGACAATGTCCGCGGTGGTGAGCCGTCGGTTGGAACGAGTCCCTGTCAAACGGTCGGCGACTGTCCAGTGTCCAGGGGCAGGGAGGTCCTTGTCCGCAGTGGTCTTGCGGCGACTACGGTCCTTCTCCAGGCTATCGCTGGCGTTCTTCGGGTTCTGCGGAGCGACAGTCTTGTTCTAAGCTGTGGTGGTCTCGTTCCGGGTTCCTGCTCCGGGCTGTGACTGTCCTGCCCCGAGGCCCTGGTCCGGGATGTCCTGCTTGGGGGTCTGCGGTGGCCCAGCTCTGTCACCGCAAAAGTGATGGACGTGGGACGTGGGGAGCAGTCGCGTGGGAGACTCAATTCCTGTAGCGACAAAGGCTGTCATGACGCCCTATAGTTTCCAGAAGTTATATACTGCTGGCAGCCAAAATAAATGGGCAGCAATTTCATGCCACAACCTCTTGGACGATTTCAGTAAAACAAACGACCGCTGGAGAAAGACACGTCTCCATACTCCCGTGGTTCGTGGGGGCGAGAGAGCTCTTTGACCTTCGGCGTGACTGTTGGGAAGCCTTCCATCAACTGTAATGACCGTGAGCCAGACTTGATGGAATGTCCGTGATGTGGGCAGCACACAGCATCACGACGGCCATCTCAGGATCCAGACCATCTCCCACCGGCCATTCACCGCCGTTCTCAGCGTCCCAAAACGTGACAGTCGCTCCGATCGCATGGTCACGCACAGCAGGCGACTCTGAGCGCCAAGAACCCACGCATAGTGCCAGTCACAACACTGCGTGTCCACAAAAGTAGAAGGGTTGAACTGTCTTGACGCTGACGCCGCTTTACCCTCGACCCTGACACTAACTATGCAGAACCGGTCGTTCCGAACCAGGCCCCATCTCTCGGTACTGCGATGCTCTCCCTTGCGATCCTCCCACCACCTGAAGCCCCTGACCTTGGACGCCCAGTAGCGGACAGATGTACGGACGGATGAACAGGCATGGCAGAACATTGCCAGAGCCGCAACATTGGAAGCCATCGTACACGGACAATCAAAACCACGACACATGCCTGGCCCTGCCCACAATCCGACAGCATCATCATGCTTTCTTCAATCAACTCAGCCCACCTGGCTCCCCAGCTCTGAGAAGGCAAACACCTCGTTGATGAGCCGTCAACCGCCGCCATGTACCGGGAGTGGCAGCACGCGACACCCCCGTCCTGCCGTGCTCCCCGGCCGGTACTCAGTGGTCTCCGGGCAGACACCAGTCGAGGCAGACGGCGGCAGGCACGCGATCACGACAGACACGAGCCGGTCGGGGCCAGGTGGTGGGCGGCGGTGCCTGCCGGGGCTGGGGGCAGCTCCCAGTTCCACTCGATACTTGGGCCACAGCGTGACTCACAGGGCGGCGGCACGACAGAGCGCTGAGCCAGACGGCGGCGCAGTCGGAGCCCAGGTGGAGGCTGGCGGGACGGTGACGGGACCCAGGGGAGACAGGGCGGAGGAACTGGGGCGGCGCAGGCGGCGTGACTAGCGAGATGTTCCCTCTGGGAGACGAGGCAATGGTGATTTAGCTACGAAAGTGTGGATAGTGGGGACATAAAAGCAAATTCACGAGGACAGCAAAACTCCTAGTTTAAATGTGGTTCCATACTAGCACTTAAGCGAAGAAATTTCGCTCCTGTTTCAAATTCAAGCTCCTTGACATCAGCGTTGCAACACAAAAACCAGAGGAAGCCCCGACATCCGGGATCCCGCGCGGTAGAGTGTAGGGGCTGTTCCACCGTCGTTGATGCCTGCCGCTGTCGCTCAGCTCTCTCAGGGTGACTGGCATGGCGCCTCGCTCAGCAGCACCAGACAGCGCGGCAGGCGCCGACGTTCCGCCAGGAGCGTTCACTCGTGTCAGGGCGCAGGGCCCGCCGGGCCGACGGGGAGCGTTCACTCGTGTCAGGGTGCAGGGTCCGCCGAGCCGAC